CTCTTGCCCTGGGTGAACTCAGCCACAGCCCGAGGCTAAGAGCCCCAAACAAAGCTCTCTGCAGCCTGGGTTTCCTTCTCCAGCCCGGGGCCCACAGGTCCCTGCTTCCTGAGCATCTCACGCTGACGTCCTCCCGGTCAGCCCTGACCTCACGGTGTTTCCGCCTGAATCAGGACCCCTGAAGACCACTTCCAGGTGGGCCCCTGCCTCTCGCTCCTGGTTCTGGGCAGCCTCATCTCTTCTGGCAGGCTGCAGCAGCCTCCTTGCTGGTCTCCGGACCTACCCCTCCCTCCGTCCTCCTCCAAGCCGCTCCAGGGGTCTTCCTTAAGCCCACCATGGGACTCTTATATGGGGTCTCCTCTTCAGCCTGCTCCCAGGCTGCCATTTTGGATCTGGCCCATCTCTCTGGACCCATTTCTCCATTCTTTCTTGCCTCCATCTGGATCACCCTCAACGCATCCCTGCTCCTCATTTAAGGGTGTGCTCTGAGGACATCTCCTCCCAGAGGCCTTCCGTGATTACATTCTGTCCCCCTCCTCCCTCTTCCCATGCTCCCATAACCTTCACACTTTCTTTCCCATCCCTACCTGGCAACCTCTGCATCGCCGTCCTCACCCACCAACCCAATCCCACGACAGAAGTGGGGGAAGGGCTCGCTGAACCATTCTCTCCCAGCAGGTGGGTCTCAGTGGGAGCCACATTGGGGGAGCTTGGGAGAAATTGTCTTCTGCGTTTCAATTTTTGTTGTTATTGTTGCTCTTCATTAAAAAAAAAAAAGTCAAAAAGGTGTTCAAGGGAAACCGCATTTAATCCCACCATTTTCTAGTCCTTCCCCGTGGGCAGCCACGGTTGCAGGGTTGCTGTGTAATTCCCACCGTCATGACGGCTGTTCCGTCCCAGGGTTCAGCTCCAGCCCTACCACCCATCCGTCACTTGACCGTCTCCCGTCACTGCAGATGTGGGCCATTTCTAATTATTTTTCTTCTAGATGCTCATTGCAGGATCAATTTCATGCAGAGAGTTGTTTGTTTTTTTCTTTTTAAGGCTGTTGAATTATTTCTCTAGGCTGAATTCCCAGGAGTGGTTTTACTGGGTCAGAGGATATTGACTTCTTGTGGCTGTGGCCAAGAACCACTTTCCAAGAGAGTTGGGCCATTTTGTGGCAATAGGCCATCTTCGCCTGTCCTGGGGCTCCATTTTTGCACTGATTTAATAAATGTGTACAATGAAACTTCAAGATTGATTTAAACAGCTTTTCTTTGACATGGGCCAGCGTCTAACCCAAGCCTAGCAAGGTGACTGCCTCCCCGCAGTGGAGTGGGAGCCACAGCAAGAAATACTCTGATGATGGTCAGGGAGGGCCCTGAATTCAGGCAGCCACCATTTTTTGCTTTAACAGCCATCGTAGCTCACGTTCTCCGAGCAGTGACAGTGACCGTGGGTCAGACTCTGTGCAGGACCTCATTCGATCTCTGAGGGAGACACTATTCTATCTCCCTTTTACAAAGAAACAAAGGTTCAGAAAGGTTAGGAAACACCGCAGGTCACACAGCAGGGCGCCTCATTCAACGTGTCAATGTCTGGCTCCAGAGCTCTGGTTCCTCATTAACTCCAGACCCATCTGGAGAGTCAGACGTCACCACCTTCCAGAGCAGGGGAAAGACGGGCGAGGACCAAGTTGCTGGCTATTGCTCTGACTGCTCCTGCCTCAGGGCCCCTGGGGCAGTAGTGACAAAGCTGGTCCTCGATGTCGTCCTGCTTGTCCTGCTTGCTGTGAGGTAGTCAGGAGGACCTTCGCGCTAACAGCACCACCTACGCTTCCTCAGCGCTGACCGCATTCGTATTATGCATTCAGTCTTCGGTCCTGTACAGCGGGCCACATGCGCTCACATTTCACAAACGAGGAGATGGAGGCTCATAGAGGCTTGGAGTGGAGGGGCAGAGCCAGGCACTTCTCTGCCCCAGGCCTCCCTCGCCTGCCCTGCTCCAATTTCCCCCTCTAAAATGACCCCTGAACACCCTTGCTGGCGACGGCGACGGCACAGAGGAGAGTTTCGGCTTTCACCTTTGCAGGCGTCACTTTCCCTTTCTGGACCACAGTCTTCCAGTCTGTGAAATGGGTGGGAGGAGGGGCTGGCTTTGGTCTGGACCCGTTTGGGTTTTGAGTCCTGAGTTCTTGAGCAGATGGCTGCTGACTAGGAATTGCGTGGTGGTGGCGGGCGTGGGAGTTACATGTGCAGCCCCGTGTCCCCGCCACCCACTCCCAGCCGTCCTGTGGAATCTGCAGACAAACACAACGACTTAGAGGCTCTAATGGTGCCGTTCTAAAGCCTAGTGGTTGCTTCTGCGTTTCCCTTGCGCACTGAGAGCCGCCTACTCCAGAAGCTACTGCTCCAGATGGGCTGTCCCCAGTCCTGCCTCCTTGGCAGTGAGGGGGCTTGGGAAGAGGGAGTGACCAGGAGCCTGCAGGATGTGGGGGGAGAGGTTCCACCGATCGGCCTCGCGAGGGCCCCCCCACCAATGGAAGGTTTATGTGTGGGGTTTCTTCTGGAGCTCAGTGTGGACTAGTGAGCCCAGCACAGACTCTGGGGTCAGGTGACCTGGGTTCAAATGCCAGTCCTGTTACTTTGACAGCCTGAAATCTTAGGCAAGCTGCTTCCCTTTTTCAGCTCGGTTTCCCATCTGCGAAATGGAGATTAGAAGCAACCCCTCTGGCATGGGATAAGAGGTAACGGTGGAGCGTTTGGCGCAGGGGCTGGCAGGGAGGAAGAACGCTGACTGAGGACTGGCTGGGGTGCTGCATCCTGCCGCCTGCAGACCCTGCCAGCCCCTCCACTGTGACTGGCCTGCCCACCTCCAGGTGGGGTGCTCACATCAGGGGCCCTTGGCCTCCTACTGCTGCCAGCCACGCGTCTATTCCAGTGAGAAACTATTTTTTCTTTAAATTAAAAAAAAAATGTATTATCATCTTTAATTTGCTATAGGGCACTCACTCACCAAAGAGAGACAGAGAGAGATGGAAAGTGAAAAAGCAAGCTGCCAGGTCCAGGTCTTGAACCATGG